TTCGTATTAATTAGAATATTAAGATAATATTAGTTCTAAGCTGAAGAACGAAGACAACCGACGAGGGAACTTAGTTTTTTATAGGTTTAGGCTCAAGAAAGAAGTCATCCGCCGAGGGATTTTAGTAGCGATAGTATTAGATAGTTAAGATTTAAGGTATTTATAAGGTTTATTTTAACTTGTGATTCCATCTATCTGCCTTGGGCCTCCACTCGCAGCAACCTCCTCGTGGTGAGGCCTGGGCAATCGGTATTGTCTTCGGTAAAGTACTGTAAACTGAAGACAATATCGAGCTAATGACTGCGAACTTTGAATCTATCTCTTAAAACCACGTTCTATATTACATCGAACAAGGATTATTTTAGAAATCGATATGAGATTCAAAGTGTAAAAATGTCTAGTACTTTGAACGTTTTAGAAAATTATTCGAAATAAAGATGTATGGAACTACTGAAAATTACTTTAGATTCCTTTTCCTTATTCTGTAAATTGCTTGGAATATGAATGCTGCTGGAAGTATGAACATGTAGCGTACACAGCCAGGTAGTTGGCTGTGGAACGTCCGCGCACGGTTGCTGGTTATTTTTGCCCTCGAGCCGATGAGCTCAAGGTTTCGAGGGTAATAAAATGGTTTGCAGCTGTGCACAAGGATTTTCGATGCGACAGAAAAATTTCCGTTTAGTGGTCGGGGGAACTCTCTCTTTTATGGGTTTTTTTCCTCCCCCGAAAAGACAGCGGGTGTAGGCTGGAGGCATTCAGTCACGAGCACTCACCGAGTAAAGTTACTTACTATTTCGCTACCCTTAACGATAGGGCAAGTTTTCATTGTGTGTTAGGAAACTAACATTATTAATTCCTTTCGAAATTTATGTGTATATATTAGCGAGTAAGTGTAAATAAACTTTAGCATAGTTATAGTGTGTATTAATTTATTTCTCCACGTCACCACCTCAAACATTTTCACAGGACAATGATATAAATGGAACTTTAACAATTTTTTAAGTGTTACAGTGATATTTCGTTGGCCTCCGTATTAGCGCACTGCGCCGAACGCGGATAGCATGATGTAGTCGCAAGGGAGCAATTGAATCGAATAGACGTATTGTACCGTAGCACATCGTATTGTATTTCAAACTTTTATATCATTATAATTTATATGTATATATGTATATTCCAATAAACATACGTCAGGTAATATAAGCTTCATTTCATCGAATTGTCTTAAATATAACTGCATAAATATTGTACAATCCTATACTAATTATAGTTGTCTGGTTCAACAGGTTACTACAGAAACTAACTACTGCCTACGTCTTTTAAACGTGGGCTGTAGTAGTATCTGCAGAAACTGCCATGGTTGCTGGGGTTACTATATAATTTGCTCACGGAAGCACGCACAAGTGTCAGTCAGATTTCGACAGTTGCACAAGCAACATTAGACCGAGCTCGAGAGTTGTACGAGCAACAGCGATAAAGGATCACGTTTCAAAACTCTCGCGCATGCTCCTGGGGTGCTATGACCCCACTTTTTCACACACACGGGGTCTCTTACCACATCGAACGCACAGTTTCATCTATATAGAAGCATGTGACAATTTCAGAAAGAATTGCTATTTCTTAAAGGATTGCATACAAATAATCAAATTACAAAACGGTTTCAGTTAGAGATGGCGTGCAAAATCACTAACGGTGATTTATCACAGTGATCACCGAATCACGATCACGGTCGTGATTTGACATCATTTACGACCGTGATTGCGATTTTTTTATCTTGAGTGAATTTGCGCACTGCGATCGTAAGTCCTGGATCTTTAAACAGAAAAACGTATTCAAAATGATTTTACGATGAATTACATTACTATTTGTATTTGTTAAAATCAGTAGAAAAAACA